CCCCCCCCCAGATCCCTAGAGAGGAGCGTCAGTTTTTAGGGTAGACGGCCTTTTGTTTTGTTCTTAATGGTGCAAAACTCCACAGAGGTCCTGAACTCTCTGTTAGTCCAGGCTGCCTGGACAGACTGCCCAAGAGGGCCTGGAGGCATCCATGGTGGAGCCAGGCTTTGAATACCAGCGGTGTCCCTCGCTGGTCACAGCACCCGAAGCAAGGCTGGTTGGTGGGACAGTTGTTTCTTCCCTCCACACCACAGCTTGGTGTCCCTGGGGAGGGGTCCCATTTGCTTCCGAGCCCAGTTCCCACCGCTGGGTCCTGCCTGCTGTCTCGGGGTGTTCTCTTTAGACTCCTCTAGACTCATTTCAGAGCTGGTTCATGAGGCCATTAGCCCTTCCCACCCAGTCATAAACAAATGTCACTTTGGGGGCAAGATTGATGGTGGCCATGTAATAAAGCTGGCCAGGCAGAGAACATTCTGGCGGAGTCAGCCTTCAGCAAGCAGAGCGCTCTGGGGGCAGCAGGGGGGAAAGGGGCTGAGAGATTGTGGGGAGTAGGGAGCAGAGAGCAGGAGAGCCCTAAGCTCAAGAGAGCTCCCAACGAGCAAAGCCCAATTATTCAGGCAGGGGCCACAGGTATGAGAGAACACCACTGAGATTTACCTTGGGACCCTAAATGCTAGCTTCAGAAACCCCACTTTTCAGAAAGCTCCTGTTTCAATTTACAGTGAAGCGAAGAGGTTCCTTGCAAGCAGCTTTTATTAATGGCTTTCCTTTAGTATTTGGGCTCTATGTTGACAGCCAGAACATCCGTGGCCTAATACCTTACACCATCTCCTCTTTCTGAGTGTGAACCCAATATAATCATTAAGTTCTGTGTCTCTCTGTGCCTCTGTCCCTCTGACCTTCTCTTTGTCCCAGTCACTTTCGCTTGCTCTTTCTCCCAGGCCCCCCGCAGAAGGCCTTGAGGCCCTGAAGTTTCTCTGGGTGCCCCGATGTCCCTACTCCAGTCAAGCCCTGGCCTGAGGCCCAGGCTCTGAGCCCTGTGGGTGATGGGCCGGACCCAGAGGACAAGAGCTTGTCCCAGTCCTCAGGAAGACCCGGTGCCCCGGGGGAGCAGGACCGGCAGGTTGCAGTCCCAGTCAGGGGGGAAAGGAGCAGTCCTCAACCAAACGAATTCCAGCTCCAGATCCATTCAGGACAATGAAAGCCCCTTCTCCACCATGTTCTAAACGTGATTAGGGTGGAAAATTGAGCAAAAACGTGCCATGTCCGCATTATTGGAAACCAAAATATGGCGTAAAGAGGGCTGGACGTAGGGCCTTTGCTGTGCCCCTTTCCTGTTGAACCCTGGCTCCAAAGAAACCCTCTGTTTTGTATTATTTTTTTGTTGTTCACTTGATTTTTTCCCCTCACTGATTTTTAATTTGCAGCATATTGAGCGTATTATAGGAGATGCAGCAGGACCTGGAATTTCCTTGCACGTAGGCGCTGGTCCTCCACACAGGAGAGAAGGGTGGAGCTTCTACCCGAACCAGCTCAAGAGGAGAGGCCGGGTCTGCCCTGTCCTGAGAAGGCCGGGCACTGCTCCCTGCTCCCAATCCCCCCCACTCACCCCGGGGTTCTGGAGGGTGACCCCGGAAGCCACAGGGTTTCTTCCCCAGGCCTCTTGCTCTTCCAGATGGCACCTCCCTCTGTTCCCCCAAAGAGCATGTCCTTTGCCTGGCCGTGCGGGGCGGACAGGGCTGGGACTGCCACTGCCTCCTAGGGAGACTCGGTGTCTGCCCAGTTGCCCATCAGTTTGGGGGTACTGGGGGGGGTGTGGGAGTGCAACCTGCGAGCCCAGGGACTGAGCAGTGGGTGGGGGGCCGGAGCCTCTCCGCTGACCTGGGTGGTGGGACCCCAGGCAGGGCCTAGGAACAAGGAGGGGCCCTTCTGGGACTCAGAATTGGAGACTGAGGAATGGAGGGGTTTACTCCAGGGCTTTGAGGAAGATTTAGATTGAGAGATGAGGGCGCGGGGAGAAAGAACTTCCTTCCACGGTTACCTACTCCAGGGGAAAAGCAGGAAAACCGCCACATTTAGGGCCATTAACTCTTAGGGCCTCCTCGTTCCCTTCAGTAGAAAGGCTGGTCACTGGTACCCGACGCTGGGCCCAGGTCTGGACCCGGGCATCCCCGACAGAGCACGGACAGCCCCGAATGCTGGGGAAGCCTGTCCCAGGGGCCTGTCGCGCAGGGCCCGCGTCGTGGGGCGCACTGGCCCCCCCCAGATAGTCCCCAGGGCCTCGGGGGCCTTCCTGGAGCCTGAGCCAGGGGCCAGGGCTTCCTTGCGCTTCCAAAGAGCATTTTTATTATAATTACGCGTGGAGGTCACCAGCCGACGACGGCCTGGCGGCCGGCCTTCGGGGTTGCAGGAGAGGAGTGCGGGCGAGGCCGGGCGGGAGGCGCGCC